GATATATCCTCCTGAGACCCTGCGTCCTCACATGAGGACATCACATTTTGGGTTTCCTGCACCTTATACTTCATTCTGCTGAACTTAGACTTGTTGTCCTTGTTTGTGGACAGGTTTATGCTCAGTCTGCAGCTGATCCTGACACAGAAGAGGACAATTTTCAAAACAGAAACTTGTTTATTTGTGCTAAATAACGTCTGGAGTTTAATATGGAAAACAAATTTGACCAATTTAAACAATAGGAACAAGCTTAAATGCTGTTAATTGGGAAGTATTCGTTTGAGGACATTGGGACTAAATTATCGTCTTTTTTGAGGACAGTACGGAGCAGGAAAAATTGAAAACAGTTACAAAATGAACAAATCACAAGGCTTTCAGGTATGTTGCATTATTTGCAATTTTGTTTTTGTAGCGTGCGACTATTAAAAATAAACCCATCGTCCCCATAGGAGGACATCTTTTTTTTTCCTTACAAAAACTACTTCCTGTTCAAGTTTTTTATACTTATCAGGTCCTACATTCCCAAAAAGCTTGGAGAAATTAAAAATGCACACCAAACACAGAAGCTGGAGTCTCAGAAGGTTTAATGGAATATCTCAACCAATAGATTTTTAACTTTTAATTGAGGTTTCATGCTTTGAATTGCATCTTGATGTCTCTTTGTTGAATATTCAAATTGTTATATCTTCTATTTTATGGTGGATTTCCCCTTCATTCTCTAGTGTTGTTATCTTAACCTGATGTTTACCTTGCCCTCACACCAAGTTCAGCACATTGATTTTTGCATGTTCTTAATCTGCAGCACACGGAGTGAGTATAATACAACTCTATATATAGCACATTCCACCACTGACTCGGGTTGTAAAGTATGTCCCCTTGGTTGCACTATTCAAAGTGCACAGTGACTTATCAGATCATGAAACTCTGCTCTATTTCAGAAACACATTGATAAAGCTGCACCTGAACTTTAACCCACAATGCAGCACAGCCAGTCGACACCGATGACTGTATGTAAACCTCAACCTTTTTTGGACTTCACTGGAAGGCCACAGAAACCTTATGACACTTACATCAGCCCTCCACTGCTACGATCCTAAAATTACCTTTTTCCCTGTGATCACAACAATGTCACATTACATCAGTCAGCGTCACACCCTGCAGTCACACGCCACGCAACCTTTCACACAGTGCCAACTGAAACCACAGAGACCCAGAAGCTTTGACTGTGGCACGGAAACACTTTAATTCAAGTGCCTGTCATTAGCTGTTATAATGTATTAGTGTTTATCTGTGTAACTACTGTGCATCGTGTTGTCTTTGCCATTAGACGTCATTAGTAATGTTTAGATTACATGAAGGCGTGCACGGTGACCTCATTCAGCGTACCTAATAAACTTAATTATCTTTAATATGCTGTCGCTATGGCAGGGAAATAGACTGTTGACTGGTAGGTGCATTGAGTTTGCATTTAAAGAGGACCTGTTACGTTCATTTTCAGGTTCATACTTTCTATTAGAACATGTTTACATGCTTTAAAGGCATAGTGCACCCAAAAATGAAAATTCAGCCATTATCTACTCACCCATATGCTGATGGAGGCTCAGGTGAAGTTTTAGAGTCCTCACAACACTTTCGGAGATCCCAGGGCAGAGGGGGTAGCAACACAACTCCACCTAATGGAGGCATACAGTGCCCCAGATTCAAATGTCCAAAAACACATAATTGAAACCACAAAATATCTCCATACTGCTCGTCCGTAGTGATCCAAGTGTCCTGAAGCCCCGACATAAAAAAGTTGTTTGGGAAAACGTCATTTAAACTCTGTTTTTAGCCTCATTGTAGCCTGTAGCTCTAACTGCCTCTCTGTGCACCGCGCTCTTGTGTGCGCACTTGCGTGCGAGACCAGCAAAAGCACGTGAACACACATGAACGCGGTGCCCATGTCTCACGATCTCACGCAAGTGCGCACACGTGAGCGCCGTGCCCAGAGAGGCAGTTAGAGCTACAGGCTACAATGAGGCTAAAAACAGAGTTCAAATGGCGTTTTTCCGAACAACTTTTTTATGTCGGGGCTTCAGGACACTTGGATCACTACGGACGAGCAGTAGGAGATATTTTGTGGTTTCAGTGATGTGTTTTTAGATGTTTGAATCTGGGGCGCCATAAGCCTCCATTAGGTGGAGATGTGTTGCTACCCCCTCTGCCCTTGGATCTCTGCAAGTGTTGTGAGGACTCTAAAACTTCACCTGAGCCTCCCTCGGCATATGGGTGAGTAGATAATGACTGAATTTTCATTTTTGGGTGCACTATCCCTTTAATGGTCAAATATTACTTAATTTCCCTCATGCTGTCAGTGCTCAAACACCTGTATTCACCACACCCACCTGATAAATGAAGCCAGCGTAGATGTACCGAAAAATGCAGTTCAGCTAATGGCCACTTGAGGCTGGCTCCAAATTAGAGTCAGTCCCCATTGACCCTCATGTTAAAATGCCCAAATTTACAACAGAAATAAACATGTTTGCAGGCTGGTACAAAAAAAGAGTTTGGGTCTCTTTGGCTAATTTTAAAATCAATAAAAACTGTACAGGGTGTAAATTTTTATATAACTCATCCATTTACATTTTCTAAAAGCTTAAAGTTATGCATATCTATGGGCGTGGCCACTTGAGTGACGGGCTGTCTGTGAGCATTGCCACAGTCTAAGTCAGCTCCACCCTGTCGTCCAAATATGGTCACTACCGGCTCTAGAAAAATCAAGATGGTGACGGCTAAAATGTCAGCTTCAAGATGTGAGTTCATGGGCCTTTCCAAAACCAGACCATACCCACTCCCACTCTGACACGGAGTGTTACTCCGTTTGTAGTCCCTTTCACAGCTGAATGAAGCACCCTCTATCAAGGTGTAGGGGATTATTACTTTACAAGCTTCGGGACAAACTGGAAAGAGAAACTGTTGAAGCTATTCGTAACTATGGAGAAAAATAACCTTAATCCAATTTTATGTTCTTTATATGTATTTGTAGCACTTTATTATATAGATCTTATCCTGTTCAGAGTTTCGAGTTGCCGGTACACCTGCGTGCCATGTTTAAGTTATGCTAGGCTGACCAAACGTCCTCTTTTGCCCGGACATGTCCACTTTTCACGTCCCGTCCGGGGCGTCCAGGTGGTCTTTATAAACTGATGATAATGTCCGGTTTTCCGTGTGTTTGTGTGTGTGTGTGTGTGTTAGAGTGCGGCACGGGCAGCATATTTCTGTCCGAACCCGAACCGAGCCCGACATTATTTAATGACCAAAGCACTGAGTTTGTGTCACACAGTGGTTACAGGCTATTTAACAGGCCGGGCGTGCGCTGTGGGTGCTCAGCTGCGGAGAGGCGGAGAGGCAGACCTCCGTGTTTGAGACGGGAGCGGGAGGGCCGACGTTTCCAGCGAGACGAGAGGGAGAAATAAAACAAAATAAGATAAAACAGGAAAAACCTGTCTCCCTCTTTTATTTTATTTTCAGCGTTTAATCAAGGCGGAGGCGGGCGGCTGGAGGTCCGAGACTTCCAGAGAGGGGAGAGGTAGAAACAAACAGCCAATGTGTGTCTGTGTGTGTTATGTTCAGGTGTTGTCACGTAAATAACAGTGCCCAAGCAAAAAACAGGACAGACAATAGGATTTTATTTATTTTTACACTACATTTTCACTGAAAGCTGACCGAATCCGACCCGAGCCCGAATACAATTTATAGCTACATTTTTGACCAAACCCAGCCGACCCGTCGGGTACCGTCGGGCTCGGATTGCCACACTCTAGTGTGTGTATGTGTCCCCTATTGGGGCCTATCTGAAATTCTGTCTTTGAGAGATATTATTTTGTAATATAACTGAATTTTCTATCCATACATATAAATTTTAAATATATTAAAATTATAAGGCATCTTTGAGTAAACTGCAAGTATCATTTAAGTAGGCTATGTCGAGGCCGGCCGAGTGTCCTCTTTTTTGGAAATCAAAATATGGTCACCCTAAGTTATGCATCAATACACCTGAGCAAATTCCTCCTATGTGATAACCTACTTGGCAATAAACCAGATTTTTATTCTGATGTCTTAGAAAGAAAACAAAACAGGCCTAAAGAAAATGAGAACAGGCATATAAAATGACAGCACAATGGGTTTAATTCAGCACTATTAAATACTGTCACATGAACTCACCCACATGAGGAGCTGAACTGGGTTGTGTAACTCAAGGACAGCCTCTGCCCTCCCTCTTCTTGTGATCATGACTCTGCACTTTCAGCGGGGATTGCCTGCCTTACATCAGCCCAGTGACATCACTGACATTCTACTCCAGAGAGATCACCTGTGTATGTGTGTGTGTTGGATACTGCTGGTAAAGGTGTGGAGGAGCGGAGCGGTCCAAACCGGCTTGCACAACTGATTGCATGCCATGGCCTCCTTTACAAAATTTTCCAAGACTTTCCAGTCATGTGCTTTGCAGTAAACTACAGCACATATTCTGGTCCCGAGGGCAGAGGCAGCCGCTGACACAAATAGCATGAACACACTTGATGTTACCATGTTGTTTCAATAATACACACGCAGCTCTATGTAATGTAATCCAATATGAGAATAATAGGTCATGTGTGTCCATGGTGCGTCTTTAACTGTGCTGCAGATGTCACATGCTTCTTTTTTAGGAAGTCAGCTGGTGAAAATGCAAACTATCCAACAAATCACTGAGAATCGTTGAAAAGGGAACCTGTGTGGATGAATGAACATGGTCCTGCTGACCGAGGCAGAAGCCTGTGCAGAGAGAGCGCTGAGGATTATTGTTCTCTTCAGCTCAGAGATGGCACTGAGGCCACAGAGGCCAACATGACCCCTGTGATCCGCACGTGACTCTTCTTTACAACTGCTAGAGGTCAGAATTCAGCTCGGCTTTGCTAAAATTTCCAGAAATGGAAAAAAAAAAAAAGAAAAAAAGAAAAAAAAAAAGAAACCACATGCAGTTCTGGCTTCCAAAAAATACGTTTTATTGACAGCAATACATATCAGATTTTTGCAAATAGATAAGGTAAAAAAATGAAACATAAATACACTTAAATATCATTAGAAATAACTTAAATTGTAACAAAAGAATTATTTTACTTGTGGCAAAAAAACAGCTGGCATAGAAACACTAAACACACAGAATATCTTCACTGGATGTGTAGCCCTTCCCTTTTTAAATTAGGACAATAGCAACGTCAACATTAACAATTTTAATCAAATAAGTGAAATTGCAAAAAGGTCCAGTGTTTCAACAAGTGCTTTGTTTCTGCAGAGAGAGGCCGAGGCCTTGGTCCACTCAACAGCTCCATATTCTGGTTTCTCCCCACTTCTCTGACACATCACAGAGGCCTCACCAAACATACATGATATATTCCTTCTGCACAGTGTCCGGCTTCACATTAAAAAGCACACATGCTTTTGTACATTTCCACCTCATGACGACACAAGTGCCTCGCCGTCTTATCTCGGTTGCCAAGGCTGACAGACGCAACTCCAAACAGTCCTGTCCAAAGTGGAAAGTCATTCCCCGGCTCTTTTTTTTTTCTTCTTTTAAATTCATCCCGTGTAGACAGCCGGGTCTCTTTTTTTCATCAGCAGTGCTTTGGAATTTGATCTCTGGGTGGTTATGTGTCCATCAGGGTTCACACCACTCCTGCTGTGCAGATACAAGTCCTTCGCAGGGTCTTTGCTGCTGAAAGTTCATCGTTCGGGCAGGTTGATGATGGGCACCCACTGGTCCATACAGCGACTCTCTCTGCAGAATCGGTTCACTTTGCTCAAAGCAGGGTCTTTCCATGATGTGGAATGTGGGCTCTGAAAATGAATAACAAGAGAACGAATGATCTAAATGCACATGTATCCAAGTTAAAAATAGCCCCTCTCTCTGTGTGTGCAAATACTAGGTATTTCCCTCTGCTGAAATTCTTAGGAAGTCATATGAGGGAGGAGCTACATGCTTGTTTACCAATTGCACAAGAACAAGTACCGGCAAGTTTCCTGGAGTAAAAGTTTCAGTCACATGTGCATGACTAAACACTTTGTAATAAATCAAAGTATGATGAGATTTACGATAAACCACATGGCTTCATGAGAAGATACTTACAGTCACCAGGACACAGTGCAGGTCCATAGGTTCACCCCCGCTCTGTTTGCCTCCGCTGCCCAGTATTTCAGCCAGGCGCCGGGTGTTGTTGACTCTCAGGATGTTGATGTCATTCTCACAGCAGAAAGCTTGAATGAGGGTGAAGTGGATCTGCAGGGCCACATCTTTGACATCTTCGTCATCAGTGGCGAGGATGCACAAGACCACATTATCAGGGTCCCTGGAGAGGAAAGGAAATAGATCCTTTTAGTCTATGTGTAAATAAAGCCTGTTGGACACAAGTCAAGCAGTGAGTATGCATGGTCTCCAACAACTGTCAGAGTAACTTTAATAACCTTGTACTTACACATTAAGTGACTTGGCAGCCTCGTAGACCCCCACTGTGATGCAGCCTTGTGGTAAGGCAGATGTGAGGACTTCTTCCAAAGCTTTCGCCACGGAATCCATTCTGCAGCACAAATAAATTCACGTTAACATCAGTTTCCAGCTGCACCTCTGTCCTTTTCTTCATGCTAACGTTAGCCGGACTAGCTAACTAGCTAACCATCCGGCGTCGTCTCGAGCGCAACTGACAGATGTGTACAGGTTAGTTTCGCCTCGTAAAAACCGAAATGTTACCAAGTTTGCGGTTGAAATTATTTTTGGCAGCTGTGTAAGAGTAAACCAGCACATTTAAGACTGTCGTGTCGAGTATCTTATTACTTTTTGCTCACCGTTAGCAGCGCTGTTTGTAAGCTAGTTATCTAAAAGTGTCTCGCGACTTAACAGCAGTTAGCTAACCGGTTAACTCCTGTATATTATATATGTGTCTGTCGTCTGCTTTAACGATGCTTTGACTCAAAGTAAAAACAGATACAGATTTGAAATTATCTTTATCGTGCATTAATACAGTTAATGCATGTAATACTGCTGCACACATTCATATGACAGCGATAATAAGCGGAGCAGGTCGACACCACTAAGTAACGTTACATGCATCAGTGCAGAACAACTGGAATCAGCCAAAATCCATATTATTTACCTTTCCTGAGAATAATCCCCACTTAGTTCCTCAAATGTCATGTTGTACATAAAATCCAAATCCACTTTAGGGCAAAGGGAGCAGTGGTACATGCGAACTATCCTCGTATCTTCTCGACACACACTTTATCTGTAGTCCACTGTGCTGCAACTGAGAGATAAATCTGGCAGCTTCACATTAAGACAGTCCGGGACAATGCGAGTCAGGAGGATATTTGCATAGCTGTGATCATTGGTGCTATGCTAAATATCTGGGTGTGCTCTCGAGTGGGATTGGACGGAGACACAGCGACGAGGCGTGTCTGTCTCCAGCCGGGTTACTACCGTAACTGCAGCAGCTGCCTGATGGCCTCTAACATCTGAACTACAGTGTAAATCTAATCGGTACCCTGACTGCAACACACATCTAATGACTATTATAATAACTAAAGCACGTCTGTAACGTCAGATTCACTTGTGAGCATCTAACACCTCCAAACCCTGCACAAAGACACGCCTAACTTCACTACAGTAACAATCTTTGGTGATGTCAGCTCAACCTGAGCATAAACATGAATCTACTTTTTAAATAAACTCCTCAGAGTGAATAAATTCTGCCCACACGGAGCATTAAACGCAGTAATGAATGAATAGCGTGTTGCAGGACTCACCCTCGCTGCCGGACAGGACAGGACAGGTCTCAGGACAACTGCATGGCAACGGGACGCTTCCGAGGAAAGCTGCGCTCTGATTGGTCCGCTGTGTAGCGTGCGAAAACACACCGAAACCGCGCGCGAGATCCAAAGGACTGGCGCCGAAAGGCAGGAATATGGAGCCAACATCAAACCACAGGAACACAGGGGTGTAATTATAGGCAGTGGAGACAGGGCGGCTGCAGTGGGGCCCCTGAGGTGAGGGGGCCCATACAGAGAGAGTGGACAGTAATGTGTTGGACAGAAAACAGACCATTACATGTAATTCAGATTGAAGAAGAGCTCATTAAATCTGAGAAAGTGGCATCATATATGTTTGAATAAAAAAGGTACTCTATTCTATCTAGATTCACAATTTATGGAAAGATGTTATAAAATGTTTGTCAGAGATGTTTAATACCAAGGTCCTGTTAAATGACAAACTCTGTGTGTATAAGGAATAAACCCACAGGACTGTATACAAGCATTCAAACAGACTTAAGAGGGATTTATACTTGTCCGTCAGCTCTATACAGAGCCTACACCGTTGTGAGCATTTATACTTGTGTGGTGGTGTGTCTGTGTCACTGCAGTTACCTCCAAAACACTGGTTGGCGGTGGGGTTTCTGTGAAGTGCTGTAAAGTTTAGTTGATTCAAAACACACATTAAACACACATTAAACATGACGTAATAGCAGCAGTGTCAAACAAGTACACAAATCAGCTTCACTATAACTCGCAGCATTCACAGACAAACACTTGTCTTTATCTGGACACATTTTCTGTCTCACAACAGCAACATTCAACAAAGGTAACGTTACAAAATTCGGCTTCATCACAGCTCACAAGGTTCGCTGACAAAACAACTGTCTTATACTAAACACGTTTTCCAAACAAATATAAGATGCTAACATTATTAGCACAAGCCTTTGGCATTTTATATTGTTTAAATTAGCCTAGCGACTAGCAGACTTTTCCATCTTTCATATGAAGCCAGGGACAACAGCAACATTCAACAAAGGTAACTTTACAAAATTCGGCTTCATCACAACTCACAAGGTTCACTGACAAAACAACTGTCTTATACTAAACACTTTTTCCAAACAAATATAAGATGCTAACGTTATTAGCACAAGCCTATGGCATTTTACATTGTATAAATTAGCCTGGCGATGAGCGGAGATTTCCTCTACTTATATGAAGTGAGGATAAATCACACACAAGATTTAAAATGTTATTTTGTGGAGGCTTTATTGTCTTCACTATTTATTGTTTCTTATCTGTGAAATAAAAGTGAATAAAAGGGTTTCAGCTTACAAAAATGGACAGGAGGTCTGCGTGTAGTTACATTTCTGGGGAGGTGCATGTCAGGCTATGGTGTTGATTCATTGCAGAAGTGTAAATTCCACATAAGACTTTGAACTTCCCCAAACCAGGAGAGCTATTGCATTATGTTGGAAGCAAAGGGTGTGTTCTGAATCGCTTACTTTTACTTTTTATTTTTTGTATGTACTGCAGCTGCCCTTAAAAAGTAGGTACTGTTGCATGCAGTATGCACACAATTTTTCTCTTAACATTACACCCTGAACTTTGACCTTTTTGCTTATAACCATTACCTTGGAGATAAAACAAACGCCACTCACTGAGTTCGCCAAACAAACACCATTTTTTCCCCACAGTATTTACATATTGTTGTTTTAAAGTAAATACTAAAGCACTTCTGGTTCTGCTGGTGGTGGGGGCACTTCCTTATTTTGTCTGGTCCCTAATAATCCAGCCTCAGTGATGAACATGAGTAAAAAATAAATACATTTAAAAAATAACATGAGATAGGAAACATTTTCATGACTCCACACAGCAGGTTCAGGCACTGCTAAGGTTAAAGCATCTTAAAAATAGAATATATACATTATCACGTCTGTAAGCATAACAAAATATATAGGTATTAAATACTTTATACACCGATATAAACAGTAACATGTATAGAGACAAAAATAGTCACAAGTTCATTACAGGGGGACCACTTCCAATGAAAATTGAAATACAACAATTTCACATGAGGGCATGAAATCAGGGGAAGGGTCACGTGTCTTGTGACTGGAGACAGCAGCTTAAATAGATTTCCTAATTGTCTCATCTGTATCTAGACAGCTGTTTTTTGACATGAACATTACGACAGAGCTGTTGCACAATTAATATTTTAATCAGTTTTATGTGATTTTGAATTATGGCATTGCAGATTTATGACATAGTTTGAACTCTGTATCTAATTATCACTCATGTTGCAGCTCATCCTCTCCATGTGATGTAATTGAAAACTGTACTTAGGATAGATAAGATAAAATAAGATGGGATAGATAAGATAGAACTAAATTGCTGTGCAGCAGTTGCAATAGGTTGGAAGAGAGCAGATATAAAGAGTGCAATACACAAAAAGACAAAAATACCATCATATTTGTAAAGTGTAGGTGCTAAATATAAAACTAGATAAAAATAAGGTGCATATAAATATATGCAATATACACAATGCTAAAAACAGGAACAGGATTTCTTGCTTTCAAAGTAATTTCAATAGTAACTGCGCAATGTTTGATTTTATTCCTGTTTCCTGTTCACTGTGAGCGTCAGTTTCCATCTTTTTAAGCAAATTGAGAAGTTACATTTACAATGAGGACGAGGTTAGGACTGCAACTAATGATTATTTTCATACTTAATTAATTTTCCAAATATTTGCTTGATTAGGTGATTAATAATTTGGTTTGTACATTAGGAAAAAAACAACACATTCCTGTCACAGCTCCCTACGACCCAAGGCAGTGTCTTGTTTTGTCTGACCATACAGTCCAAAGCCTTAAGATTAATTAAGTTTTAAACAATATCAGGAAAGCAGAAAATCCTTTTGAAAACCAATCAGTATTTGGCTTTATGTTTGCTTGTAAAATCAATGAAATGATTGATTGTCAAAGTAGTTACAGATAAATAAGTTAATTGATTTATTCTCTTGACTACATGGATTCAGAGAAGCCAATTCATGCACACTCAGACAAAGAAATGAGTCAGTGAAGTGAAAGGAGGCCATGCTGTGGATGTTATGGGATGTTATGCTGCCCTCTGGTGGCTGCAGTATTAAAAACTAACAGAGAAAAGTTGTAAATGATTTTAATTATTACTCAATTATAAGAATATTAATAATTAACTTTATTTATATAGCATCTTTCAAAACACAGTTACAAAGTGCTTTACAAAACCGAATAAAAGTAAAAACAATAACAACAGAATACACATAACAGAATAAAAACATGTGATAATAAAGCAGGTAAAATCATCAAAAGGCAGTTTTAAACAAGCAGGTTTTCAGAGGTGATTTAAAAGGTGAGACTGAGTTTGCAGCCCTGATCTCCTCAGGAGGGTCATTCCAAAGTCAAGGAGCTCTGACTGCAAAGGCTCTGTCACCTTTGCGAAGTTTATCTAGACCTCGTAACAACAAGAAAAGATGCATCTGAGGATCTCAGGGTGCGAGAAGGAACACAGGGTAATAAAAGATCTGTTATATAACGTGGAGCCTCTCTGGGCTTTGTAAGTAATCAATAAAATCTTAAAATCAGATTCTGAAACGGTGGTTCCTCTTCGTTTGCTAACATTCATGTCCTGTTGCTGCATGTCACTGACTCTGCTTCTTCTCCAGTGCACTTTGCGCTCCACTGCCTCGCAGGTTCCCCCCTGAACCCCTGCTTCATATGTGGCTCCCAAAATGTAAAAACAAAACCTGCACCCTTTTGGACAGCTGTAGTTACACACTACTGTATGTTCAGTTGATAAAATACAATGCATTATAGTTTAATTATAGAATAATTGTTATACACGTAGATTTAACGACCCAACAGTATAAAAGGTAGTTTAAATTAGCTTAACTTTGGGCAGCTACAACCTAAAATGTGACTTACACAGCATGACATATGTAATGACAATCCAATAATATAACATCACACTGACATTCAGCTGCCTGATGAGTACTTTATTTTGATACTGCAAACATATTTTACTTACTTCTGTACTTCTACTTAAGCACAATTTTGAATGCAAGATGTTTCGTTGTAGTGGAGTCATTTTATCTTGAGGTACTGCTACTTCTACTAAAGCAAAAGATCTGAATACTACCTCCATCACTGACATTATCACTTATTTTATTATCAGCTCACATTTAAAAACAGGCTCCTTCTTCTGTTTTTAACTGTAAGATGATAGTAAAATGTGAAATAAGCAGATTGGGTCAATGTGGGGCCCGTTTGTGTGTGTGTTAGCAATGTGTTTTGCCCGTTTAATGTATTACATCTTTTGTAGAGATGTGTGTGGGTGTGTGTAGGTATTGTATATGTACATATGTGTATGGTTCTTGTTTGGAGGGATCAGTTAACATGCTAGTAAGTCTAAATTGGTGGCCAGAGGGAGGCTTAGCCATGACTACGTGACCCCCAGATATGTATACATGTACTGTACTGTGTGTTACTTGTCTTAAGAAAAAAAAAGATAATAAAATAAGTGACAATGAGCATCCTGGTGTGCACTGGGACTTTTTATTTTCCTTGATTCATGTGGATTACCCTGCACTGGCTGGCACCCAGGAGAGAGGCACAGCTGTGCACAGGGTTTCTCCAATCTCCTATCTCACTCTACAATCAGTTCTCAAAATCCACTGTTACAGGTGCTGAACTGATTTTAATTACATATTACACATGTTAACTACCTGAATATGATTTTTACTCTGTGCTTGTGTAAACTACTTTCTTTTGTAACCTGATTTAATTTACCACATGGTGGCAGTTAATGAATCTAAATAAGACTGTCCCATCTGTTCCAGGACCCTCCAGTAGAAGGCGGCAGAGGTACACCTCACTCACATGAACCTTCTCCACCCATGTCTGCCTGCTTATTGCTCCCTTTAAGTCTTTAGCTGGTTATTATCTATACACATGACATCTATTACACGTCTGTCCGTCCTGGAAGAGGGATCCCTCCTCAGCTGCTCTTCCTGAGGTTTCTACCATTTTTTTCCCAGTTAGAGGGTTTTTGGGGAGTTTTTCCTTATCTGCTGTTAGGGTCCAAGGACAGAGGTCTTTCAATTAAAAAAATGGTACATTTAAGGCTCTGAGGAGTGAACGGTGAGAACTTTTCGGATGTGTGTGCTGGGCAACAACAATAAACCACAAAGTCATCCTGCTTCTTTGAGTGCTGTGACCCATTTATTTGCACGTGCTCACCTCCCACAGGTAAAACATTGTCAGTCCATAATTCATCTTAAGTTTCCACAGAACAGTTTCAGAGTCCATCACAGATTAGTGTCCATTCATTGCTGCCGCATTTCATGGTCAAAAAACTGTTTGCTTGTCCTGTCACACACCTGCTGCTCATCACCTGTGCCTTACCTTTATTACATGTGTTACCTGTTCTAGTGCGCCACCCCGTGTACAAACAACACAACTGCATCTATTAACATGAAGTCACTATTAGTTAAACATTAATCAAAACAAATACAAAGAACTTTATTGAGGCTCCAACAAATGAAATTGAATTGAATTGAATTGAATTATTAACTCATTAAGTGCTACCTTTCCACATGTAAACCCACATTTGGTCAAGTTCACATTGTATTTATGTACATCTAATCAGAGCATTGGATAGTGGCTTCTACTTGCCACAACTTACCTAACAGTTGGGGTCATTGTATTCAACTTACTAAGTATAAAACATGGGATTTCTGTCTTTTAAAGGTCACCATATGGAGACAGTATAGCTGCATACTCTTATGCAGGAGTGCAAGAGTTTACTTTAGTGAAACAAATGAAGGAGGAAGCTTGTGGGCCTGGGAAAATAAAGAAAAACATAATTAATGTCAAATAGAAACTACATGAAGAGGGGACATGCCATGTCTATTTGGAAAGTTGTAGTCAGTCAGTAAGTGAAAACTTGTGGGTGACAGGGAGGTAAAGGTCAGTGGACAGATAAACGTCAACATTCTGATTTCTGTTGGGGATGGGGGATGTGATTTTCCCTAACCCGTCACTAGAGATCAATGTATCAGCCTGAATCTAACATAATTTTAAGTCCACCCTGGTGTGCAGCTATGCCAATATACCCGTTTGGCAGGGCATTTAACAGTGAAGCGAAGCAAAGTAAAACAAAATACAGTGCTGGGTGATATTGAGGACACATGTCAATTTAGAACAGCCTTGATAGCAGCTTATATCTCGTCTATAGCGCTTACCATTGAGTGTATTGGTGTAGTGGAGGGTATATGCAGGTATACAGGGTATACCCACCTCTTTTTCCTGCCATTTTCAGTATACCCACCTATTAGCCAAAAATCCACTGAAATATACACTCAACAGCCACTTTATTCGGTACACCTGTTCAACTGTTCGTTAACACAAATAGCCAATCAGCCAATCACGTGGCAGCAACTCAATACATTTAGGCATGTAGACATGGTCAAGACGACCTGCTGAAGTTCACAGACTTTGAACATGGCATGGTTGTTGGTGCCAGACGGGCTGGTCTGATCTACTGGGATTTTCACGCACAGCCATCTCTAGGGTTTACAGAGGATGGTCCGATAAAGAGATAATATCCAGTGAGCGTCAGTTCTCTGGGTGAAAATGCCTTGTTGATGCCAGAGGTCAATGGCCAGACTGGTTCAGTGACTCAAATAACCACTTACAGCTTATTTTCTGCACTAATCCAAAATCCATTTGGAAAATTCCATTGGCTTTTTGAGGGAAAGGGTGATGAGGGAACCAGGGCGATGCTAACTTCCACATAGGCCTACAGAAAAATCCCTGGAGCACTCTATTGTTGTTAATACTACTATTTGTTTTCAGCGCACCCCTTAACGACAGCTTGACAACGGCAATAGTCCCACCGATGGTGCTGACAGGTTAATGGATGGACTACTGTTTCACATCATGATGCCAGCCAAATCAAACAACTCAAACTTGGTGGAGTGGGCAGATTCAAAGGTGTGGAGCCAGACAACAAGCAAGAAAAATACAAATACACATCCACACAGAGCATATTGTGCATGCACACATACGGTACGTACCTACAGACATGAACGAATGAAATCACAAAACAAATTATTATGTACTATAAAGGGACTGGACAAAATAACAGAAACACTTAGCAGTGTAGTGATTCATGGATTCAAGACATTTAATATGCCACCAGTGCATTTCCATACAATAATGAAACCATGGTGATTCTCTTTAAATTGTTTTGATATCATAATAAAAATTAGACCTTTAATTTAGTTGTTCTCCCTTAGTTGCTCTTGTCACGTGTCCCTGTTACAGTGTGTTGCGCGTGTGTCCTCTTTGTGGATCAACGAGTTCACAAGTATAAGATAAAAAGATACAGTAAGAAATATTTTGTGTCAGACAGCTATTGATCAGTAAAGACAGATGTCCTTTCACAAGGACATTTCTAAACAGTAAAAGCCTCTATTGTTAATGCCTCTGTACAGACATACATCTTATACCTCCTTTAAATTACTGGGTATCTCCTCAAAGTGTTAGAAGTGCACATATATTAAAAAAACATCTCCAAAGTTGAGCAATAATATAGCAAGTGGATTATTTTTTCAACAACAAACATGAAACACACACATAAAAAGGTATAAAACATAACGGTGAAATAGCATTGTTTGTTTGTACAACCCAGATTCTAAAACAGTTGAGACCCTGTATAAAATATACATAAAAACAGAGTGCAATAATTTGCTAATCCTTTTTGACATACAGTGGAGGAAAGAAGTATTCAGCATGTCATTTTTTCCATTAAACATTCTTCCACTGTTGCCATTCATAAATGTAATTTACACCAGATATTGGTATTAACTGGTAAAATGACACTGTCATAAAAAAATGGTAACATTTTAATTTATTAAAATTATGCACAATTAAGTGGAATGACACTTGAAAAAAGTTTTGAACACACTAACTAAAATTTATTAATACTAACAGAAGCCTTTGCTGCTGGGGCCCCATGACAACAACCTCTATTTTGTCTGAGTCCAGCTAAAGACAATTTTTTGACATTCAGTAATGCCACTGAATTGTCAACAACACAGTCATGACAATATTTCACAGTAAAAAAGCCTTGTGTTTACAAATGAAGGGATTCTGTCTGCAGATATGTTGTCAGAGGGCTTTTATTTTGAAAGGAAACAGGAAAGATTGACTTAAAAAGGAATATTTCTATTTTTACATGTCTGTGACAGATACAGACATTGAAACTGTGCTAAAAGGTGAGACCCCTGTTCTGTAGATGTGCTGCGGCTGAGCAGCGGTTGGGCCATGCCTGAGCAGCACTGCTCATGCAGGCAGTGTGGCTGTTCTTATCTGTTTACACGGATGCTAAAATAAAAAAACAAGAGCACACCCGCTGCTCATGCAGGCAGTGTTGCCTGGGTATTCGGCTTGGGAGATGCACTCACAATTTAACGTTAACACACAGTCTCTTTCAAAATAAATGAACTACGTCGGTACAAAAAAAATTGACGTTTATTTTCCTTCAGCAACTAACGCATGTGGTTGGGTTTAGGGAAAAAGAACAGGGTTTGGCTTTAGAAACTTATGGGACCCGAACACCTCTCTCTCAGGTGAGAGTCGGCGTTTGCTGGCCTCTTTCACGCCTCTTTCAAACCATTTGTCTTCTCTGGCCAAGATGTGAACATTGCTGTCCTCGAAGGAACGTCCCTTTTCCTTCAGATGTAAATGGACAGCTGAGTCTTGACCTGAGGAATTGGCTCTCCTGTGCTGTGCCATGCACTTGTGGAGTGGTTGTTTAGTTTCCTCAGTGTACAAATCTGTGCATTCCTGGCTGCATTGGACTGCATACACTACATTACTCTGCTTCTGCCTGGATGTTTTGTCCCTAGGGTGAACAAGCTTTTGCCTCAATGTGTTGCTGGGTTTGAAGTGTACAGAGATGTGGTGTTTGCTGCAAGCAAGCAAAGCAAGCAATAGGTGATGTGTTGGCTGGCGAACAGATCCTCCTCCATTTTTCCTGAAGCAGGTCAAAAACTGCCTCACCACCTTGGGGTGAAGACCCCCCCTGTCCCAGCAGTGTTCCCTTTTACAGGCGTTGTGGAGATCCTCAGAATCACAGGTCATCCTGCACTGAGGGGGTAATGGTAATGGTTCTTGGCATCCAAGAGAAGGCTGGTAAACCATCTCTGCATGTGCCATATGTGCAGTAGCCCCAGCAGTACTACCAGTTGTGCAGCTGCCACAAATCCCAGCTCCTGCATGATGGTCAACGCTGTCACAGGCACACCCAGGTGCATCCCGGCACACCCCGGTGCACCATGGCACACCCAGTTGCACTGGGTCACATCCCAATTCAGTTTGCCAACTGTCTGCTGAGGGCGGTCCGTCTGTGCTCCGACATAGACGGCAGCCTGTTTGTGTTGATCCCCAGATACTCCACCTGTTGGTGTGGCAGGGGGCTGCTCATCTTCCGGTCAGTTGTGAAACTCAACTTGGTCAGGTGTCAGATCACCTGGGTTGTGTGAAATACAGCCTGTTACTTGGACTTGGATTTGGCCAGGTTGTTGGGATAAAAGAAGATTCTAATGCCACAGTCACACAGCGACTGAAGCACATCTGCTGAAGGTGCAGGGTGCCAGGGAACAGCCCAACGGCAGTCCATTGTACTTGTAATCTGTCCCCTGGAAGGCAAAACCCAAACATTTCCTGTGTTTTAGAGCCACCTCGACATGAAAGTGTCGTCCTCTAAGTTGATGTGGTGAACCAATTGCCCAGCTGAACCAGTTCCAGTAAACACTTGATGGTTTGCATGTAGCAATGCATTGGTTTTGAATGAGACCCATGAAAATGGGTCTAAACACTCATGCTCTTGGGAACCAGGGATCATATTTCAATGGAGTTTTACCTTGTATGACCTCATGTGACGGATAAATTAGATAGATATATTCTTATCTTATCAGTCCCTGGCTGCATAGTGTCTATCTGTCTTTCATTTGACCTTGACCTATTTTGGTATGTGGTGGTGTGGTGTGGCGAAACCCAAACATTTCCTGTGTTTCAGAGCCATCTTGACATGAAAGTGCCGTCCTCTAAGTTGATATTGGTGAACAAATTGCCCAGTTGAACCAGTTCCAGTGATGTAGGCTGGTAAGTCGGCTGGTATGTTGATCTGTCTCACAGATATATTGCTAAACATATAAAGGCTTACATACAGATGTCACAGAGACTTCAGTGAAAACTGGGAGCCCTCTGAGCTGAAGACATTCAGTTGCCGTGTTGCCCGAGCAGATTCGCGATCATTCATTAAGATCTGTGAGTATTCAGACATTCAATGGAAATTAATTTCAAAAAACGTCTGGACACGTTTGTTGTCTTATTCTTTTTCTTCAAACTGTACAAAGAAAATACTCAGTTGCATTTAGAAGCAGTTAATAAGAGCATGTAGCCATTAAATTTTAAATTTAAGGTATTCATTTTGGTCCAAACCGTTTTGTTTATTAACTAATTCACAAAATGCCTCTTTTTGTAGAAGTTTTGTAGAAGGAAATGTAACAAGAAATTGCTTTTAGTTTTATTTTCTCCTTGGTTCTATCTTTTGTGTATTCCTGCCTTTCTGTTTGACAGTCAGCTTGTGAAAACTGTATGGAGGGTTGCTGTGGGGACGCCCAGCCTGGTAGGAGGTAACACCTTGACCATCTAGGGGGGCTCATGGGAGCTCTGCTGTACCAGCGTCCCACAGTTTCTCCCTTTAAACAAAAATTAAATTTGGGGCATTTTTTATGCTTTAATGATAGTGACTGAGAGAAAGAGACATGCTGCATGAAATACTTTACATGTATTTCTTTATTTTCTTCGGTTTGATCTCGAGTGAAGTTTTCTTCAACTAAAAGATTTCTCTCACAGTTACTCATGCTTACGTTCAGCAGCCTACTGCAGTATCTTCTGAATTGCTCAGATAATTTTTCCAGTTCCTACTGAATTTTTTTTTGGACTGTTAAATATCTAAAGATTCAGGAAAGGTGAACACAGGGATGTCGCGGAAGCTGCTGAGCTTTTCAGCCATCAGTGTCTTTTACAGTACATGTAGTGCAGTAGGAAGGAGAATGCCCCCGAGCCTTACAGTCTTTCAGATACATCACAAAATATATGTAACTCTTAGCTAATGCACTGCAGAGCATAAAGTACCTCAGCAATTTTGAGGTACTTGTGCTTAAGTCCATCCATCCATCCATCTTCATCCGCATATCTGGGGCCAGGTCACGGGGGCAGCAGGCCAAGCAAAGCACTCCAGACGTCCCTCTCCCCAGCAACAGTTTCCAGCTCCTCCTGGGGGAACCCAAGGCATTCCCAGACCAGATCCCTCCAGCATGTTCTGGGTCTGCCTCGGGGCCTCCTACCAGTGGGACGTGCCCGAAACAACTCTAACGGGAGGTTCCCATGAGGCATCCAGCTTAAATGCCCGAACCACCTCAACTGACCCCTTTCGATGCAAAGGAGCGGCAGCTCTACTCCGAGCTCCCTCCAGATGCCTGAGCTCCTTACCTTTTCTCTAAGGCTGAGCCCAGCCCGCCAACGGAGGAAACTCATTTCGGCTGCTTATATCTGCAACCTCAAACTTTCGGTCACTACCCAGAGCTCATAACCATAGGTGAGGGTTGGGACGTAGATGGACCAGTAAATTGAAAGCTTTGCCTTCCTGGAAGTGCTCCTCTACAGACATTTTGTGAAGACCCTGAGATACTTGAACTCCCTCACTTGAGGCAGTTGTTTAATCTATAGCCTATTAAAATGCTTTCAATATACTAATGTATGTTATTCTTATATATGTAAATATAAAAGATAGACATGTATTGTTATGTTCTTAGTGTCTAGTTGACCAGTCTGATTGCCTGGTCGGATCCACTTGTTGTAAAATATAGATTAAACTATGTAATAGTGTATAAGTACTGAAAATTAACTCCACCTCAACCACTTAAAAGTCGTAGTTAATGCACATTAAAACATTACAATCAGTAAATGAATAATTTAATAAATAATAATATAATTTACTTACTTTTGTCAAGTTCTTTTATTTGGTTTACTCTTTTATAAGTCTCCTGACCAGATAGCAGATGACCAATGTGCATGGACGCATCTTCAGCCACACCCATCACCACTTTATATCATGTAAAACAGTCCAGAGGGAGTTATGAAAATAGAGGTGTTAAAAGGGAATAATTTCTCATCACTTACATTCCAACACAGCAGACGTGTCCTGATGGAGCCAGCAGGTCACCCAGAGAAGAGTCTGATGAAAGATGACGACAATCAAAATCATGTTCCAGCAAAGTGTGACAAGAGAGGGCAGTGGGCCAACAAGAGGGAGTTCATTTTGACAGTAATGGGACAAATCGTTGGTCTGGGCAATGTTTGGAGATTTCCTTATCTTTGCTTCAAAAATGGAGGAGGTAACAACATGATTAAAGGTCTCATTGACTGGAAGGGTGATACTGAATCATAAACATTTTGTGTTTGTCTTTTCCTCAGTATAATTCATTACTTTGCTAAATGTTTCTCCTCAGGAGCTTTCTTGGTTCCTTATGTTTTGTTCCTGCTCACCTGTGGTATCCCCCTCTTCTTTCTGGAGGTCTCTCTGGGACAGTTAACTGGTCAGGGTGGAATCACCTGTTGGAGGAAAATATGTCCTTTATTTGAAGGTACTGATAGCTTAGAAACATTTTCAATACAGTGTGCTCAGTATTTGAAATACTTTTTACATTACTGGTGTGTACTCAATGTTGAAATTTGATCATATTTTTGTCAATAGGTTTAGGCTATGGCAATCAAGTGGTGATGTTTTACAGTGGAAGTTATTATATCATCATTCTTGCTTGGGCCCTCCTCTACCTCTTCTCCTCCTTCCACACTGTACTCCCCTGGGCCAGCTGCAACAACACCTGGAACACAGGTACACATCTGCATTATATTTGTGCCATGGCCTTGTATAGGTATAGAACTATAGTCAAGGGTAACACATGAGTGTAGTTTGACTCTAGAAGAGGCACTGAGAATATATTAAAAACTGCTGCAGTATTTTTTTCTTACGAAGTTGACTTATCATTAACATGGTATCAAATTTTAGTCATTCTGACTTTTCACCTTTTACTCTTCCACCTCTAGAGAACTGCATTGATTGCCGTCAGAATGATTCAGTTCATGGCCAGATCAATGAAAATGCAACATCTTCAGTTGAAGAATTCTGGCTGTAAGTAATTCATATTACTAATATTGTTTTGTAGTCATTAAAATGTATCTTGACATACCTTTCCTTTTGCACACAGGAGGAGAGTTCTGGGTTTGTCTGGAGGGATTGAGGACATGGGTAGTATCCGCTGGGACCTGGCTGGATACCTTCTGCTGAGCTGGATCATCTGTTACTTCTGTATCTGGAAAGGAGTCAAGACATCAGGAAAGGTAAGGTGTATACACTTTTTATCAGTGCAGTGTTAACAGAACTTTGAAGCCATTAAAACCTAAACCATGATGTCAAAACTGACCACCACTGAATACAGTATGTATTTGTCTCTCTCAGGTTGTCTACTTCACGGCCATTTTTCCCTATGTGATGTTAATTGTGTTGCTGATCCGTGGTCTGACACTGCCAGGAGCTGTAGATGGAATTTGGTTTTACCTTTTTCCTGATCTGACCCGTCTGACTGATCCTCAGGTGAGGTGTGAGGCGTCTGCACACCAAGTCCGTCATTTCATCCGAAATTGTCTTATGTGTAAAATATAAATACCACCTCACCTCGATTTGTCATGACTGCAAAACTTTCATCTGTCATTAATGAACAAATCGGAACGGGTACAATTATTCTGAGGCAGTTAATAAAATGCTGCACTGCAGGACACATACATCTGCAACAAGAGAGAGGAACACAGCAGAGGTGTATAGCAGCCAACATGTGGCAATATACAAAAGCAATGACCTTCTTGAAATCTTTCACAACAAAGAGATGATAACGTTAGCCTATCCAGAAATGCACAACAGCAATGATGAAGCTTATCAACCTTATTCCTGAGGGAACTACTGTAGAAATTATTATGGGTGCAACTTCCTGTGAGATAGCACAAGTAGCAGTAAGATAGTTAGTCCCATAGACTGTCTGTGGTTAGTCCCAGTGGCTACTGTTGGTGGCTAACCGGCAATGTTGGTTATTTTCTAAAGTAATTTGCCTTCAGTTTAGAAAATACTGATTTACTTCTTAACAAATATTTAACTAAAGTTAAAGCTAAACTAAGTTTTTGTCTTCAGCAACTGTGTTGAACATGTTACTAGAACTAAAAGGGATTGTTCTTGTTGCCAAAGGTACCGTTGATATGAGAAATAAAACCACAAGAGTTTCACTAGACATAGCGAAAAAGTATGAAATCAGAATTTGCCCAAGAGAATGACACCTAGACTGACAGGTCCGTCACTCAACGTCAGTACATGATATCCCTGTCTTTCCCCATCTGACTTCAAATGTCTCTTTACAAAAAGCACATACAAAATATACACACTTGATGAGCAAAGGTCTTTCCATGTGACTGATGAGTATAAGTGGGCATTAACATCAGGGACCCGATCCTGGATCAGAGTACACTTGACTGAAAAATAGGTGAGCAGGTGGCTGTAGGAGTCAGGTGAATGGGACCAGTGGGAAAGTCTGAGGGCTTCTGGTGGATGGATGGAGAATGGAAAACCTTAAAGGCCCGGAGAAGTGGGAATGTAGCTGAAGGGAGGGACAGATGGACAAAAATGCAACAAGTATAAACGTTCAGTAAATTGATATTAAAAGGCACATACCAATCATAAATCATTTCACTGTTTTAAGGTGTGGATGGATGCTGGGAGCCAGATATTATACTCTTGCTGTGTGTGCTTTGGCTCTTTGTCAGCTTTGGGAAGCTACAACAAATACCACAACAACTGCTACAAGTAAGGAAAATAAATAACATTCTATATACTTATTTCTTATGCCTGTAAGTATTTATGTGATGCAGGATATAATACATAATCTTTTTTTTATTTTCAGAGACACTTTTGTCCTGTGCACATTAAACAGTCTAACCAGCTTTGTTGCGGGCTTTGCGGTCTTCTCTGTCCTCGGCTTCATGTCCTATGAGTTGGGTGTTGACATCTCAGTGGTGGCTGAATCAGGTATGGGATGGTTTGTACAAAGACACCATGTTGTATTTGTTTAAACATATAATAGAAAATTAAGAAATTACCTGCATTCACTTTCTACCAAATTCTTAACCCTCTACTGAACCGTACAAACTGTACAACATTTGGATTTTGGTCCCCAGATGTCATGTGAGTCCTCACAGTGCTGTGGGTAGCCACGTGCTGGGTCCTCAAATTGTGATGAACAAGGTTGCACTCCCATCTTTGTACATGAAAAGCACTTATGAGGACTGTCAATAGACTATATTCATTCTCTATTTCTTAACCCTAATCTGAACAATAGCATGTAATATACATCATATTTTTGATTCACGTGGACCAGCAGTGTTGAAAGGTTTTAAATGTAGGGAGTCCCTGGGACCCACAGGGTAAGTGAGCGAGGAGCTCCACGTGTTTGGTTTCCCCCCGTTCCATGACGCCAGCGCTTGGAGCTCCCTGCTGATCCGCCGTCAAAGCCAAGCAACATTCATCTGCACACACTGCACACAATGTAAAGACACAGAGCTGGTTGAAAATAGGCAGTTTCCCTTCAACTACCCATATCGCTATTTGCCAACCTCCTGTGGCTGTCATCTTTTACAGAGATGGACCTAGCCTGTGGCAACTCAAATTTAGCCAGAGCAAACCGTCCCCCAACTCCCTGCCAGATCAGGAAACTTTCTGGCTTTCTGGGACTGTATTCACAAAGCTTCCTCATAACAAGAGTTGCTCGAAGTGACAAAATTCTAAGAAAATTCTTAGAATTGTGACGTTGTCTTAGAATTTCTCCTTAAAGTTAAGACTTGGTCCTTGTAAAGACAAAGGTTTTTCTCAGTTTCTCAGACCTTAAAAGAGCTCCTTAGGTAAAAAACTATTAAGACGCGGTGGAGGACTATTAAGAGGCTTAAGAGTTTCTTAATCAGAGGAGAAAATGGTGGAAACACAAAGAGGTCAGAGAAATATTGGAAATATTATATATTATAATATTGGAAACACTGGATGGCAGTGAGTTAATGAAATTCTACAGATTAGATCATGCTGGGATAATATGTGTGGTTGATCTCTTTAGAGATACACGATCTCTTTAGAGGTCAATTACTGACCAACTCTGGACACTAACTCAGCAGTTTTGCTCTAATGCTTGCATGAAAATCAACCTATTACTATAAATATACGATGAATCAGAAGAGTACCAATGCCAAACCTATATTTCCATCTACTCTGGATCACCCGCAGGTCCTGGACTGGCATTCATTGCCTACCCTCAGGCCATAGCCATGATACCTTTACCCCAACTCTGGTCTGTCTTCTTCTTCATGATGATAATCTTCCTTGGACTGGACACTGAGGTAAAGTGTAATAATTCTGTTGTAAATTAAAAAAGCAGCGACTGTACTTCTTGAGAAAGCTCAGGAAATTTGGCATGCCAACCAACATCCTCAGTAACTTTTACAGATGTAGAGTCGAGAGTGTACTCACCAGTTCAATCACAGTTTGGTATGGAAACTGAACTGCTCAGGACAGGAAGACCCTCCAGCGTGTGATAAAATGGCACAGCTTAATAAACTTCTTGAATCTTGAATCTAGAATCTTAATAGAACTTGTGAATGAACAAAAGCTAAAACCATTTATCAGCAACTGCAGCGGCATGGTGGTGTAGTGGTTAGCATTGTCTCCCCACAGTACCCGTGTCAGCGTGGGTTTTCTCTGGGTACTCCTGCTTCCTCCCACAATCCACAGACATGCAGGTTAATTGGTGACTCTAAAATTGTGTGTAGGTGTGAATGTGTGCTTGAATGGTTGTCTGTCTCTATGTGTCAGCCCTGTGATAGTCTGGCGACCTGTCCAGGGTGTACACTGCCTCTCGCCCAATATTAGCTGGGATAGGCTCCAGCCCCCCCGCGACCCCTGACAGGATAAGCGGTTATGGAAAATGAATGAATGAATGAACTAAAAGCTTTATAGTGGCTAATTGACTTAATTGTAAGTATCAGTGTATATAAAATGTAAAAGTAACTCTCACCTTTTACCCACAGTTTGTGTGTTTGGAAGGCTTGGTGACAGCCATATCAGACATGTATCCATCCTTCTTTTACACTGGTCATCGACGTAAACTGCTTCTGCTGGTCATCTGTGGTGTATCTTTGATCATTGGCCTGTTGATGGTGACTGAAGTAAGACTTCATTTGTTTAATCTGTGACATAAAAACTGTTCAGAAATACCTCATGTCTGTTGATAAGTCTCTTTCTCTGTGTCAAATATATTTGCCTTTGAACCAAACCATCTATTTTCTCTTCCCGTCTCTTTCTTCTCTGTTATGTGCTGTAGGGAGGACTTTATGTTTTTCTGCTGTTTGACCACTATGCTTGCAGCGGAATACCAATCGTGTTTTTCGCCATTTTGGAATCCATCTGTGTGGGATGGATATTTGGTAAGCAACAAAAAGTCATGTAGTCGAGGACAAGCAGAAGTGAAGGTGGTTTCAAAAATGTGAATTTAAAAGCACAGTGTACAAAATATGCCACAAGTAACACTGTATATTTTTGTCCTGATGTACAAAATTGAAATTTGACTTAGATTTTGACCAATTTTGTGAACCCAAAAGTCAATAGGCCTGTTTCCGCTGAAGAAGTTCCTGGTACTATTTGGGGGGCAGGAACTACTACAGGAACGTCCTCTCGCTCGGCCCTCTCAACCGCCGTGTCTCCACTGAGAGAGTGGAGTAGGAGGAAAGTTCTTGTAAAGTTATGGGCTCTGGATGTGGCGTAATCGTTGCGCAACCATTTTGACCGGGGCGACGTAGGAACGTAGTTAGCTGTTAGCCGTTAGCGGTGTCTGTATTAACTCAATTACTCAATAAACGGTCCGTGAATTTTTTTTTTTTTTTCAGCGGATGTCTTAGTTACAACATGATTGAGCTAACTGGAGTATTTTCATGTCGTATCCGACAACGGGAGGCTTTTAACAGATGACGTCCTGATGTTAGCTTTGCTGCTGCTGTTAGCTGTCCCTGTCAGCTGCAGCCACTACTGATGCTTTCTAGAAATCGTGATTTCCCAAAACTGAATAAATACCACACATAGCAACACAAAGCTGCTTTGCTAGCTCAATCATGTTGTAACTAAGATATCCGCTGGAAAAATATTTTTTTCAAGGACCGTATATTGAGTTAGTGAGTTAATACAGACACCGCTAACGGCTAACAGCTAACGGTTAGCCCAGCTAATCTACGATAACCATAGTAATTACAAAATGTCACTTCCCGCCTTGAGTATATCCAATCAGCACCAAGTAATCCTCAAGTCCCAGCCAGGAGTTTTTCGGTGCTGTTCTTAGTACCTACTCTGAGGCAGGGACTTGTTTAGCCCCTGTAAAAGTTCCGGAACTCTGTCCTTCAGGGGTGGTTCCTGCGGTGGAGACACGCACCAACGGCCCCGGCCCTGGCCCCGCCCGTAAAATTACCCTGAAGTTCCTGTGGTGGAAACAGGCCTAAAGTCACCTTAAACTTTGCCATAATAAATGCCACTCTTTTGCACTTAAGGAGGCTTTGTTGTGAAATAAAGAGACTCAAAACACATAGGATTGGACATTTAAGGGTTTACCTGTGAAAAGGCCAAAGAATGGGTGCATAATGACAATTCATAGTGTCTGACAAACAAGTAATAGCAGTTGACACACCTACAAGCTTTTTAATACACATTAAAAGGTGTTTCCTGTCACTTAAGCTACTGTTTTCCTGTTCCACTTCTGGGAGCAATTGACCTATGGCTAAGCCACGCCCCCCTCCACTCACCCCGACAAACTATCAACATTGAGTGACCAGCACTATGGCAGGTGTCACAGTACACGGCATTTTGCAGGAGGCAATTGATGATTTTTGGGGACTTAACGATCAGATGTCATTGAGAAGTAACCAAAAGGGCCTAAATTACGCACTGGAGGGATATATTAATCATTTTATTGTTGAGAAGGTCGATGAAAAGCTTAAATTACAAGCCAAAATTTACAGGTCACAGTGTAAGTTACACTTGTGAACCGCATCTCGTTGCCGTCGCCATCAAAGACAACAAGTTAAAGTGCCACTGAAGTTAAGGTTTTTGGCTCAGAATATGAGAAAAGGATAACGGCCTTTTTACCATCTTTACCAAGAGTGTCTCTCCGTTAGTTTGGCGCTACAGTATTTACACTGAATCATTCAGCATAACGTTTGCCAACCTTTGTTATCTCTGCCATTACAGATAAGTTAATGAAGCTAAGCTCCAGAAGTTAACGTTAGCTTAACTAGAGCTAACAATGATGTACGATCACCAAAGTACAAAACTAGAACAAAATAGGCTAATGAACTCCCAGCAAACAAGGTGACATGATGAACAACGCAGCTAGGAGCTAACGCTAGCTAAAGTTAGCCTAACGTTAGCTAGAGATGTTAAAGATAACTTTATATTTATTTCCAGCAAAGTGACAATATGTTGCCTCAAACACAATGTTGACTTACCTTAGAACAGATGTAGACATCATTGTTAATCTTATTCACGTTGAGTTGATGTTGTGGTCTAACGTTACCACACAACTTTATCCAAAGGAGACACTTTTCTCCTTTGACATGTGGTTTAAAGTGTGAAAAATACACCTCGTCGCTCAGCCTCTCAGGATACCTTGTGTCGGAGTTGCATGTACCCCATTCACACTGTTTGACCATTTTTAAACTTCGTACTCGTTGTCCTCCGCTTATCCGGGTCCGGGTCGCGGGGGCAGCAGCCTCAGCAAAGAAGCCCAGACAGTCCTCTCCCCCGCCACTTCCGTCAGCTCTTCCGCGGGAACCCCGAGGCGTTCCCAGGCCAGCCGGGTGATGTAGTCCCTCCAGCGTGTTCTGGGGCGGCCCCGAGGTCTCCTCCCAGTTGGACATACCCGAAACACCTCCCAAGGGAGGCGTCCGGAAGGCATCCTTACCAGATGCCCGAACCACTTCAACTGGCTCCTCTCGATGTGGAGGAGCAGCGGCTCTACTCCGAGTCCCTCCCGGATGTCTGAGCTCCTCACCCTATCCCTAAGGCTGAGCCCAGCCACCCTGTGGAGGAAACTCATTTCGGCCGCTTGTACTCGCGATCTCATTCTTTCGGTCACTACCCAGAGCTCGTGACCATAGGTGAGGGTTGGAATGTAGATCGACCGGTAAATTGAGAGCTTCGCTTTCTGGCTAAGCTCCCTCTTCAAATCTCGTCAATCTCCGAAAAAGCTCATAAAACAAACGAACAAAACTGACTTCCTGTAATGCATTTCAATGAACATCCAGGCAGAGAATGTCCGAGTGTATGGGAATGGCTATACGCACTGTGATTGGCTCATTGCGTTTGAGGGCAGGATGTAGCCATGGGTCAGTTGCTTTTCTTCACCTTCCCAAATTCTGTCATGTCAGGTCAACTCTACCAAAACATGTGAGTGGACTACTATTTAACGCAAGTGGGAGTTGGCCAGTAGAGTTGCAAATGCATTTCCCAACAGAATACTCAGAAATCTGCACTGCGTAGAACACGTGCTTATCTGTATAAATCAGTTGTGCCTTAAAATGGAAAATGACCAAAACTAAGGTCGGACTTTCTGAAAAAGTTGTGGTGTCATTTTGAGTGTTGTTTTCATTTAAATATTAGAAATTATGTTAACAAGAATATGTTATTATTGATATTTGCTATTTTTGCACTTTGTACATTTTTCTCATCTGCACTGCTTCAAAAGGTCATGTATCTTTAAATATCCTCACATTGTAATGTAGATGAATGCCCAGTGTTTGAACATGAGCTTAAGAAGTTGATATAGCTAATACCACTGTCTGTCTACAAGGTGCTGATTGTTATTACAACAAAATAAAAGAAATGATTGGCTACTACCCCTCATCGTATATGAAATATTGTTGGAGGTTCTTCACACCATCTGCCTGTTTTGTAAGTACATTTTTGGTGTATTGTTGTGTCTGTTAGCTGTAAAGCTCGGAAGACAAAGTCAAGTCCTAAAATTAGGACAAGAAGAAAAAATATGTTACATATATGTTGATGAAAATGTCAATTTGATGTTCTCTGCTTGTCTCTTCTCTTTTACTAGGGAATTTTGTCCCTCTTTCTGATCAAGTTCAGTCTGCTGAAATACAACACCACCTATCAGTACCCCTGGTGGGGCTATGCCATTGGGATACTTCTTGCTTTCTCTTCAGCTCTGCTTGCTCCTCTGTGGTTTCTCTACAGTATGGCAGTAACCCCAGGAACACTGAGACAGGTAAGCGTGTCCACTGATAACACAATGTACCCTGTTTATCACAAAGGTTTACTGTCAAAGATGAAGTTCATAAAGCATGTTGTTATTTTAGTAAAGTCAGTGTAACCATCTGCAAGAAAAGGTGAAATCATTGACCTCCTTTTGACAAAACACCATGCTCCCTACATGGAGCTACACCTGAAGATAGTCTAGCAACAAATATCTAAAGCAAAGGTCTGCTTGCAAATGATCTGTAGAATTAAGTGGCAAATTTTGGTCTTTTTACAGAGACTGAAAACTTTATGCACTCCAGCAGCTGACCTGTGTAACGCTCCACCAAAGAAGACTCTTTACCCTGAAACACCTCTGTCTGATACAGAGCTGCATGATTTAACTGAAAAACCTTAAGATGGCAGTTCTGAAGATGAGTCACCTGTAATCAGACACATCAGTGATCAGATGTTCTACATTTAATTTCCCATAGTAATGTGGTGACTGGTGTTGGGGACTCAAATAATGTGACCTTTTGATTTCAGTTTCACTTAAATTGTCTCTTCAGTCCACACAGTTTTGTATAGATTAAGTTCAAAAAGACAATTTAAACATTGGGACAGTAACATAATGAGCATCATGCAATCCGTGGTTTCTATCTGAAGTTTTTTTTTTCTGTAGTTGTGTGGGCCATAAAAGCTACAGCATAGCTACTTGAAGATAATATTTATGACTGAACAAAATGAAAGGTACTGAAACATTTTCAAATGTCACCAAGTCAAAGTAATTCATTTAGACTCTAGCTGAACAACATATGGAAGACTCACCTTTTCTGTCTCTACATGCTGCATCAGTATTAGTTACACTGAATCTGAAAAGGCCATTACAGTACATGTAGTGAAGTAATACTGTAGTATAATATTACTCTCTGTTTCTCTCCATCCTCACAGAAACTGTTTTGCACCACAGAAGACCTGGGCCCGTATTCACAAAGATTCTCAGAGTCCTCTCAGAGAGCTCCTAACTTAGCCTAAAAATTCCTAGCAAGGAATCTTAGCTTAAGAGTGATTCAGGAAGTTTCTGAGAGCAACTCTGAGCAAAGAGGGGACAGAAACTTTTATCTTAGTGAGGAGGTGTGGTTGACCCCGTTGCTAGGTATGACGCAGTCTTCTAAAAGCTGTGATTGGTTGTTAAAAAAAAAAAAAAATGCGCTCCTAGTAATGAATGGACAGTGAAATCAACCGATCATAGAACTTAGACTGTAGGCTGTTATGAAATGTGTAATCGTGAAAAAAAATTTTATGTCATGATGATGCCTATTGATTTGCTTATTGTTATGTTTACTCGCCATGCTGGTAATTTTACTACTCAATCTATTTGATATTAATGGTGGAGACAGACTCAGCTGTCAGCAATTACTGTGATTGCTGGCCTCCTTGTAAAAAGCGGTTTGATTTGGCAGAATGACCAAAACAACGAATGAAATGGAGAAAAAAAGAACGAGAAAGCCGAACTGGACAGAAGAGCAGTGCCTGCTGTTGGCACAGCTCGTCGAGGAGAACAAAGGAGTTTTAAGAGGGAAATTCGGTCCCGGGATCACAGCACAAGGGAAGAGGTAGACTTGGGAGTGCATTGTCCGACAAATCAATGCATCGTTCCCTCTCCTTTTACGCACAAGCGATGAGTGTGAGAAGCGCTGGTATGTGCTGCAATCCAAAGCGGGCGTTATTGCGTTACTACGCTGGGTGGGAAAAGTAAGCTCATCCCTGATGAGGTCAACCACAAACATTATCCCTGCACAATCAAGCCGGTAGCGTCTTATTAAATCACTGTTGTTCAATATACGGAGAATATCTCTCCTTCCTCTCTGTCTTTCCGCCATCTTCTCTGTTTAAGACACTCTTAGGCTTCTTAAAAGTCCTCCTCCCTCCTCTTAACAGTTTTTCACCTTAGGAGCTCTCTTAAGGCCTAAGATGCTTTGTGAATAATTTTTATCTTACCAAGGGAAAATTCTGAGAAAAATCTTAGAATTCAAGGAATTCTAAGATTTTTCTTAGAATGACGTCACTAAGAGCTACTTTTAGTCCTAGGATTCTTTGTGAATATGGGCCCTGGTGATCGTATCATCAAAGAACAGTCTACAGCCTGAACTACACTTCTAAACTCAGTCCAGAAACTCTTTACCTTAGTCACTGATGGTGTTACAGTGCTACCTTCGTGAGGTTCATTTAACTTCATTTTCTGTATTTTATACTGACTCGCAAATGTTGTGTATGTTTGTCAGACTAATGCAATGTCAGTAAGATTTGTTTCGCAATTAGCCTGTTTGAAAATAAGTCTTGCTAAGTGTTTAGCCAACTGGCTAGCCTAGCTGACTTGCTTGTGTTGGCAATGATGACCACTGAGAGACTTCAGCTTGTTCAAAAATCTGCAGCTCAGCTACTAACCAGAACCAAGAGGAGAGAGCACATCAGGCCAGTCTGAGCTGATCTGCACTGACTTCCTGTTACATTTAGAATTGATTTTAAGTTCCTCCTCCTAGTATACAAAGCCCTACATGGGCTGTGACCAAGCTACATTGCTAATTCCCTTGTTAACTATTTGCCTCCAAGAACGCATGCGATCATCTGCTGCTGGTTTATTGGAGGTTTCCACAAACAGCCAGAAGAAGATCAGGGATGCAGCCTTTGTCTATTACGCCCCAAAGCTATGAAACACACTACCTATAGATATCAGGGAAGCTAGCTCACTAAATATTTTTTAAAACAAAGCTAAAAATGCATCTGTTCACTTAAGCTTTTAACTAGCTCTGACTTCCCGATACAGGTCTGAAACTCTTTCTTTTTATGATTTTACTTTCCATTTTAGGTTTCATGCTGCTGCAACTCTTTTAAAATCTTACTTGATTTCATGATTTATAGTTTTACAATTCTATGATTTTATGAATCAGTTCTGTTTCATGTGCATTCTGTTTATTTTCATGTGAAGCACTCAGTGCTCACACTGCCCTCACTGTAAAGCACTTTGTGTTGTATTTCTTGTATGAAAGATGCTATATAAATAAACTTTATTATCATCATTATTATTATCAATGGTGGTTACTGCAACTTTGACATTTAACATACACCTAGAAAGTAGTTCATAAATGCCTTTAGTTATTATTTAGTAATAACACATAAGTATGAATGCTTTGTGCTTTTTACAGAAACTAATAATTATGCAGTGTTTGTACTATCATCATGCTGCTAGAAAAGCTTAAGCTAGAGCTGAAATCTATCTGACAGAATAAAACATACTGAAGGTGACATCTAAAAAGAGTGCCTTGATCTTGTGTTACCCCAGTAAAAACACAAACTAATCCAACATAACCTGAAGGGAAGTTCTCATTTATTAAAATGAGAAGGTTACTAAGTTCTAATGCACTGGTTTCAGGAGTTGTCTTTAAGAATGATTTTTTTCCCAGGAAAGTTAAATGCTACATTAAAATTAAATCATTTTTAATGGATATTATGCACCAAGTAAAACATTCAAATGTACAATTAATTTGTTCTTTTTCTTCCTGTTCGAGTCTTGTAATTTTTCTAATCATACAGTTGTGATGTATCACAAACAATACATACAGTTTGGATCAATCTTATCATTAAATGATGATGGAATACCGGTAGAAACTTTGTCCGTAAGTGTAAAATTGTACTAAAGGAGGGGATCAAGTATTGATGGATTTCTAACAATAACTTAGTGTTTATTTATCAGCAAAGGGGGGTTGCACCACTTTACTTAGATGGAGAAAAAGGGAGACTTAACCCAACTGGAACTAATGGACAGTTAATGATTAAGTAATGATTTAGTGATCATTAACTACTCAGTATGACACAGCACTACACAAAAAGGATAACGAGTGGTCAGGTCAGGTTTTTGTGGAACTTTAAAAGTTTGTCAAACATAAACCTCGCCGTAAACATTGGAGAGGATCAACACCAGTTCAGTTCAGACCACATGGATGGACAGGACCATCTCTGCATCCATCATTGCATTTTTGGAGTCGCTGGTATGGACATGGAGTGATTGAAGATTGGCTGTGGTCCCAGCCACATGGATCTTCTTGTTATCACATGCCCTTTTCTTCCCTGCCGTGGTTAAGAGGTGGTGTTGGATACTAGCTTACTTAATTTTACTCTATTGTCAATCCTCTCTATTTGGTTTGGACACCACTGTAAGGTTCCTGACAGGTCAGCAGATGACCAATGAGCATGGAGACATTTTGAGCCACACCCAGTGCCCAGATAGTTATCATTTCATTATATTGGTGCAAAGACGCTATGCTTGTTAAAGATACAATTGGTTAATATAATACTTAAGGCCACAACCGGCCGTCTTATCAAATCATAGTTTTACAAATGTACCTGTGGGTCATCAAACTTCACTGAAGCAGATAACAAATATTGCAGGTATAAAATTTCCAGTAAAGTTTTGGATTGCTCAACAGACTTGGAGAAATCATTGGTCTGGGCAATGTTTGGAGATTTCCATATCTGTGCTTCAAAAATGGAGGAGGTAACAACATGATTAAAGGTCTCATTGACTGGAAGAATGGGACTAAATCATTAACATTTTGTGTTTGTCTTTTCCTCAGTATAATTCATTACTTTGCTAAATGTTTCTCCTCAGGAGCTTTCTTGGTTCCTTATGTTTTGTTCCTGCTCACCTGTGGGATCCCCCTCTTCTTTCTGGAGGTCTCTCTGGGACAGTTAACTGGTCAGGGTGGAATCACCTGTTGGAGGAAAATATGTCCTTTATTTGAAGGTACTGATAGCAACATATTCAATACAGTATGCATAGTATCTGAAATAACCTTTTACATTACTGGTGTGTACCTGACGTTGGAGTTTGATCATATCTTTGTCAGTAGGTCTAGGCTATGGAAGTCAAATGATAATACTATTCAGTGGGATGTATTATATCTTCATTTTGGCTTGGGCCCTCCTCTACCTCTTCTCCTCCTTCCACACTGTACTCCCCTGGGCCAGCTGCAACAACACCTGGAACACAGGTACGCATCTACATTATGTCGGTGCCATGGCCTTGTATAGGTATAGAACTATAGTCAAGGGTAACACATGAGTGTAGTTTGACTCTAGAGGAGGTATTTACATGTACTGTTTTAAAAAATGTTGTACTGTTTTCACACAAATCTGACTTATTATCAACATGGTAGCAAATTCTAAACATATTTTAACCATTCTAACTTTTTACCTTTTACTCTTCCACCTCTAGAGAACTGCATTGATTGCCGTCAGAATGATTCAGTTCATGGCCAGATCAATGAAAATGCAACATCTTCAGTTGAAGAATTCTGGCAGTAAGTAATTCATATCACGAAAATTGTTTTGAAATCATAAAAATGTATCTTGACATAC